CGGATTTCCTNTCGCTTTCCACCCCTTTTGTACCGCTGTGATTGGCCAAAACGACCTTGGATGCGTTCGTCTTTGGTCGCGTGGCGCGGATTTCCTACGAGAATTCTGCACCGTTGCGTATCGGTGTATCAAGTCCGGGTTCCCGATGCACGTAGTACGAATAGAAAACGTATCACGCAACGTAACGCTTTCTAAATTTAACTAGCGCTGTTGTCGTGTATCGTAAGAATGCGACAGCGTTGTATTTGTTTAAAATGTTCGTACGTGCGTCCCCGTCGTCGTCGGAAAAGGGTGCGGTTCTGTCCATGCGCGGTTCCCCGCAATTTATAAAATCAATACTGATGCGTTTTTCCGCACGGATGTAGTAGAACTACGTAGCCACCACTTTGGTACGATAAACTCTCATCAGAACGCTGACCCGTTGAATTTTAACGAATTAAATTTTAAAGCGATTTTTTACCACTTTTAAATTTCTTAAACTTTCTGAACTGTATTTGGACATTTAAACATAATATTGCGCTATTCTTTAGAAATGTCGATAGTATATTGTATTCAAACAATTTTATACTCAGATCACCTACCGAATAAAAATTACGTAAAAAATCTCGCAAAATTAAAATGTCTATAAATACCTCAAAAAAAACCATGTCTAGTTCAAATATATCTTTAAAACGAGTATAACCTCGACTGAGATCGTATTTATTCCGATATAGTCTAAATAATCTGACTTTATTAACAGTTAAATATGAAGTAACAAAAAAATTATCGTACGACNAGCTTCAAAATGTGTAAATCAGCCTCTGACTACAATGCAGACATGGGTAAAATACTTTTAAAAAGTATTAATAATACATACTTAAAAAAAAGTTTTCAGAATATATATCCGAATAGTTCACAATAATGGTATTGCCAAAATATTCAGAATACTTTACTAAATTTATTCCGAATATTTTAGAAATATTATCTAAAAGTGTAAAGTTAAATTCAGATGATATAAAACTAGATATTTTACGATGACAGTTAACATAGTTATGTTTATGTGATATATTATATGTTGTGCAATATGTGGTTTTATTAAATTTGTTTAATTCATAATTATACTTTAACCTCATTACTGAAAATAATAAATTAATTCCTTAACACAATTTTTTTTAAAATCTTCGAAGTTCATATAACTGTTGATTACTATATTATTGCCTTATAATAGTTTTGTATTCATAATTATTATTTGAAAATAGTATTTAGAATTTATTTGTGTTTTTATTGATCTATTATTTATTTATTTAAAAAACATGTAATATATTTTTTTCGTGGTTATTTTGTTGTTATTGGATTAAAAATAATTACAGAGTCCTGTATAAAACATATCATAGTTAATAGATAATCCTTTTCTAATTACCAAACAAATAGTTACTAAAAAAATTGAATTAATCTAAAAAAATAACCAATCTAGTTTTCTATACATTTATTAAGAAGTTTACTAATTGTTAATAATAAAGAAATAGGTCCATAATATTATTACATAACTTTGCATAACTATTTTTAAGTAAGGGGATAAAAAGGCATTTTTAAATAAGTCAGGAAAAATTCTAGAGGAGAAATATTTATTAAAAATAATTGATATTGGAATAGCTAAGACTATACTGGTGTTTTTGATAACCTTATTAGTAATAAAATTAACAATGAAGAAGGTGTTTCTTTTAATATCTTTACTAAAATTTATCAATTCATTTACAGAAACAGGATTCCATTAAATAGAATTTGGAATATGCTTACTAAGGTTGATATTGTTTTAATTCAGTTTAATATATATATTTTTTAATATTATTTTTTTTTTTGATCAGATATATTTGAGCCCATCTTAGCAAAGAATTTACTAAATTCATTAGCAATGTTAGCTTTATCACTAACAGAACCATTTTGAGTTATAATTTTATTGATGTCATATTATGTTTTTTACTTTATTACTTTTATAAATTGCTTTGTTTATAAGTATACAGGTTAACTTAATTCAATCAAATTGAACCAAATTGAATAATAGGATTTTGAAAAAATAAATCTCTAACAAGATTATAATAATAATAATAATAGTTGTTTACTGTAACCAAAAATAATATTAAGTTATGACAACATTACAATAAAACATATAATTATAGCTAGACATCACCTATAAGCTTTTTTTGATGAATTGATGATGTTGACTTTATAAACAATAATATAATAAATATAATAATAAATAAAACATTCAGAAAAGTCAATAAACATATAGTAATTGACGATGATTTAACATTGTTTATCACTAAATGTGCTGTAGAATATAATTTATTAAAAATTAACAAGGTTGTATCATCTGCAAAACGTTATATCACCTTTACATTTATTTCTATAATAGGTAATCCATTTAATAAACTGATAAAAAAAACAGAGCTCCTAGTACTGTACTTTGTGGTACACCATGTGTAATGTTTAAAGAATTACTATAGATATTGTCCATTTTAACTCTTTGCACTCTATTTGATAGGTAGGAGTGAATTAAATTACTAGATATGCCACAAATTACTGAATTTTCAAGGTTTTTTTTAACAATAATGTATTGTTTATTGTGTCAAATGCTTTTTTTACATCCAGAAATATTCCTACTACTACATAATTTTCATCCAATCTTTTATATATAAAATTATTTACTATAAAATATGTATCTCTACTAGAGCCTACTGGAAGTAAAACCTAACTGGTTGAGAGAAAAAATCAAAGTTTTCCAAAAAACTAACTATGCTATCTTTAAGACATTTATCCAATAGTTTATAAAGAGATATAAAAATAAAATGATAATTGTTACATTCAATTTTTTCATCAATTTTAAAAAGCGAAATAATGACACAATTTTTAAATAATTCAAGATATACGCCAGATGCCAAGAATAAATTGAAAATTAATATTAACGGAAAGGAAATAATATTTGAGATATTTTTTAGAATAAGATTTTGCTGTCTATTTTCAAAATATGATGTGTGCGATTTCAATTTTATAATATGCTTTCTAATTTCGAATTCATCTACTAAATTTAGGAACATGCTATCATTAACGATACAATTTTTGTTTAAATAGCTCAATTTTTTTGGAAATAATCACATTTTCAATATTTTTACCAGCATTCGAAAAATAGGTATTAAATTTATTACACATGTCAAATTCATTTTCCATAATAATTGTTAGTAATATTATTTATTATCTTCCAAATTTGTTTAGGGTCGTTTTTAGTTTTTGAAATTTGTCTGAAAAAATAACTAATATTTAGCTTTACAAATAATTGTTGTGTCAAAATGTTTCTGTACAAAGCAAATTTCTTTTTCAATTATAATACTAAATGGTTGTTTTTTCAAAAGTTTAGATAATTTGTCCTAATTTTTTATAGACATTACAATATCATTTGTTATCCAACTTTATAATTTATGATATTTATTTTTTTTTTTTAACATTGGTGTTACAAATTTATTAATAAATTCATATATTTATTTTTAAAAATATCAAGAGCTATATTAATATCACTGAGAATTAGCAATGTATGCCAATCCTCAGTTGATACTAAATTATTTAGATACTTAATTAAAATCAAATTATATTTATGTGCATAAAAATTTTCATCATTATTGTCAGCATTCAAATTTATTTTAACTAATACTCCATCTATTTATAATTTTTTCAACATAGGTTGCTATTTGAAAATCAAAAGTAGGTAGTGGCTTTACTCCTAAAAATAAAGATGACAAAAATAACATAAATATACAATTATAGAGCAGCTTGTTTCTTAAATATTCTAGAAAACAAATTCCAGAAAAATGTAACACTTCCCGAGATAATGAGTGTATCCACTTAAATGTAACACCTGGTATATCGGAGTAAGCTTTCTGATAGAAAAAAGTGTTTACATAAAAAAAAAATCATGTTTGTAAAACCAATACATTCTTTGCTACACTCAGAATCGAATATACCCTTCATAGATTCAGACCCATTTTATTTAGTACATCCTACCTGGATCTATTAGTAAATTTCTATGGACTGCCAGAATTGCCAAATCATTTAATTAATTCTAATGAACAAAAAATCTAGTTATTGGGTAAGTACGTATTTATTTTATAGTTTCCTAATTTTCAATTATAAATAATGTATCCTCTGACATTTTGTTTCACAAGTGATTTATTTGTTTAATTTTATTTATTTAACAGTGTGACCTAAGCTACCACCAATTATGATTTTGATCATCATTTTGGTTCAAATTTAACTATAAACATTTAAATTTGAATTTATATATAACATCCCGAATTTAGATTAAAAAATTGTTTATCCTATATTTTTCTTTAAAAAAAGGTCAATGATGGATTTGTGACCCAACCCCCCTCACCATGCACATTGATTATGCCATTGATAATAATAACTATATAAGTGTAGTTAATAAAATCCATTGGCTTATAGATAAGTCAATCAAATTATAGTACCTAAACATTACTAATTTAAAATTGTTTTATATTCATATAAAGGAAAAAAGTGGAAAAAACAATTAAAACAGTCAATTACTTAAAATCACATAAATAGCTTTAACAAATTTACGGACTTATTTTCATTTATTTAATTTTTTTTTTTACAGTGGATGTAATAGTTGATTTGATTTATACAGTAAGTATATTTAAACTTTACCTACAATTGATGAAACAATATTTAATTATATTTGCATACACAGTTATAAATAGCAATAGCAATATTATAGCATAGACAATAAATGCTTACAATAAAATAAATGTTACATAATATAATTATAGTAATGAAGGTGTGTAATACATTTTTGTTTGTGTCTACTTAAAATGAATAGTAATTTATTGTATACAAATTCTAAATCTAAAATAATAAACCCGGGGAAAATTCAATGGGTTCATTCCTATTGAATTTGAAATTCCCAATGGATTTTAAAAATAATTCAGTATCATATATCATAATTTAACAGTGTTTGGACGATACGAGATCATATGAAACCGTAGTCTAAATTCAATTTTAAAATGAATGTCGAACGGGTGAAAGATGAGTACAATAATGGACTTTTCATTTTTTTGTAAAGTGGGATAAAAAGAAAGTGAGTAAACAATATAAAATAATATAGGAGAAAACGGTGAAAAGGGGGGCGACGACCGTTATTAGCCGAGTGTTACTACAATAATCGCTTGCCGGCGTTAAGCCAACGACGTCGCGTTCTTATCCCAAGAATGTGCCATTTTTGAGGAACGGAAAATCCACTAAAGTAATACTGAATGCGATCCCGCTACAGTCTAATCACGATTGCGCCACAATTCTACCAATTGATAAAAACGACGATTCTACAAAGCAAAATCCGTGGAGGAATGGTCTACACTTGAACGGTTTTCGTGCCTATCAATTTCGCGTCTTAGCAGCCCGATAACCAGTGTCTCAGCGACATTCTGTATGATCAGGATTCGGCATCTAGAATGATAATTAATGGACGTAGCCAATATCGTAGAGAATCACGTAAAGCAAGCAAGTCCGATCATAAACTTGGTGCCGACGGATATCATATGAGTCTAGGCGTATTTTCACAGCAGTGGCACTGTGTTCGTTTCGCTGCAGGCTGTCGCCGTGTCTTCCGCCATCGTCCGTTGGAGTCTCCGAATCCGCTGGCATGGCGTTTTACAATCGACGATCGAGTGTGTTGGTAACACCGGCAACAAATACTCTACGCGTAACACCGGATGTAAACTGGCGTCTCTTATTACTTCGAAAACCGTGTACCCAATATGCAAGATATCTCACCCATGGTTTTAATATCGGCTGTCCTCACGATATTTCTATCTATTAGGAGGTTGAAAGCTACGTCCATACTGTTCTAGTTGCTGAATACGATAATCATACAGAATGTCACTAAAGAGGAAAGACACTGATAGCTTAGTCGCTTAAACGCAAAATTCAACAGGCTCGAAACCTAGGGGCCAAACCGACCCCCCGAGAAATTGCTGCTGCATAAACTTCAGTTATATCAATTTAAAAATAATGCGATGCATCTTGGTTTCAACTGCAGCGTTATCACATGATCTACTTTCGCCGATCGCAACGAACATCATAAATTGCCATAATCCAGGAACAAAGAACGCGACATCGCTCGTTTAACGCCAACGCCCGATTATAGCATCAGGTCAGCACTTTGCAATGGCGCGCAAATAACCCCTCTTCACTACACATTTGGTTGCTGATATCACTGCACACGAATGTATACCTGCGTATGGTTACAATATATAATTGTCAATAATTTGGTATTATTGATAGGTCGACAATCATTATTATAATACACATACTTAACTACATTTAATAAATATGTACATAACCGCCTATTAGCGATTGGCCGACTAGAAATCATCTTTGTACTGCCTTTATGGTCTTGCTTTCTCACCGTCCATTCCAGCACGTTAGAAACGAAGCTGCTTACTGTCACCTCTACAATCAAATACGCCCGCTTCAGTAGATCTGCCATCTGCTGTCGGTGATGATGTTGGACGACCTCGATCTGCCATGTTGAACAATTCACCAAGCTAGAACAGATAGGACATTTAAAAATTTACAAATATTACATAGTATGGTGAGTTTTTAAGGCTGGCTAATTATCACGATTATATAATACTTGGGTTGCTCATTAACCTAGGATAAAATTTATATTATTATAAATAATCAAAGAGGAAGGGGGGGGGCGAAGAATAAGTTGACGGCCGGGTCTAGAGCTGGTAAACTATTAATAGTTCAATAATAATAAAAAATAGCAGTTCAATTAAAAAACGTTGCTAGTTTTATTTTTGAACAATAGCTGTATATGCTATAATGTTAGTAATTAAGTAATAGTCACAGTATCAGCTAACTATAATAGCAACTATATTATATAACATGACTGAAAGGAAACGGTTTACTAATAATAAAACATAAGCAGTTGAGCAGTCCAGTAATATTTATTGTCACTTTAATATCACGAATAAATAATGGGAGCCCGCTAATGATATTGAGAAATAGCAGTGCTATATTAAACTGGGCGTCCACTAGGGTAGCAGCGCGGAACATCCCCAAAGAAACAATCATGTGAACGAATGAAGTGCATCCACTAAGGCGGCCGGCGGTCGGGACTACTCGAAGTTCGTCAACACGGGTGGCACGACATTTGTCGAACTCGTTCGTGTTCGGTAATCGTCGGTTATCATCGAGCCACACCCTAATGGACGCCCAGCATTACAACTACTATTGCTATTTTATATCATCTCTGCCGAGGTCGTAGCCTGCATATTGATTTGCGCAAAATTACGTGACATAGTTAATAATATTATTAAATGTTAATTAAATCTGTTGGTGTCATTTATACTAAAGAACGGTGTCTTTGACGGGAAACATAGAATTAAGTGTGATTAGATAAATTGAAGAAAAGCGTCAGGTTTTTTAATTTTTTATGGTTCCAATGGTTGAGTAGAGTACAAGAGAAGATATAATAAATAATGAGTGCACAAGAGCTGCTTAGGTGTATCTTCAATTACGAACAAAATGAGAAAAAATAAACTGAGATTGTTTGGGCGTTTTATGAGGAAAGAGGAATCAGAAAAAGTGATTGTGTGTGAACTAATTGTAATGAAAACGAATGTAGGAGGAAAAAATGGGAGAGGAAGACTGCAAAGAGGTGATTGGATGATATGTGGACAGTGACTGTGTGCGTGGACGATGAGGGGGATCGGGTCAAGTGAAAGTTTAGGACGAGAATGGCTGACCCCAAATAGATGAAACGAAAACGTACCCGTAATTTAATATACTGTGGGATCTGCCTTTTGCCCGTGCTACGGAATACGATGTGTTTTACACACACAAATGTATAGTAAACGAGAACAGAAACGAAAAAATGACAATTATCATTATTTAATCCCTTACTGTACATGAATAAAAATGTTTTACCTGCAGATTGGCACGCGTTGAAAAGACGTGTCTGTTACATGGGAGCGGCCTGCAGTTGTTGCCAGCATTATGCCGCGGTCATCCGCGTAGCTCGTGGAGAATATGAATGGCGGCAGCGGCTATATACGGGCGTTTCGATTTTCGGTATAGCGTGGAGAGCTGAACGAAAAGAAAAAAGAAAAACTTTAAAATGGCGGTAGGTCGCGATGATGCGGTGCACCCGTGCGAATGGACTCGCCACCGCACGGGTGCACGGCAAGTCCGAACGCTTACTACGCTGTACCAAAAATGAAAGTCGCTGTTGACGGGGTGGACTGCAGAGCCGCTCGGCCTGTATTGATTTCACTTTCCTCCCCTATAGCACTGCTGCGATTGGCGGAAACGATTGGGGACGCGATCGTCGTTAGCGGTCGCGTCGCGCGAATTTCCCACAAGTTTCTGCACCGTTTCGTACCGGTGTATTGCTTCGGGTTGCCTGGTGCGTATACGAATAGAATACGTATCACGCACCGTAACGCTGTCTAAATTCATCCAGCGCCGATGTCGTTTGTTCATAGGGCGTGGTACCCTCGTATTTGCTTAGAATGTTCGTGCGTGCATCGTCGTCACGAAAGGGTCGTTAGTATACATGCGCGGTGCCCCACAATATAAAAATCAATAATGATGTGTCTCCGTGGATATAACAAAACTATAAAGCCACCTTTTATTTGATACGATGAATTTCCCTTAGCTTGCAGACGAGTTGTGTTTAAACGTCAATGTTATATTAATTTTCACAACTACTTGAACGGACTGAATTGAATAGAAACATGTATAATATAACATGGTGCTGTCCATTGAAAATGTCGATAGTTAATTGCATTTGAAAATCACTTAATAAGACGTGTTAACTCCATTTTCGGAGCAAGGGCCAATTAAGTAATAGGTAGACAAATGATGATAGTGTAAGACGTGTATATTGAAATTACACTACAATTAAAATATCCATAAAAAAAAATATTACATTAAATTCAAGATTTCCATTTTGACCACAAAGTAAAATTCTTAATGAACCTTCTGTTAAATTTTCAAGCATTTCTGTTAAGTTTAACAATTTTACCACATAGTACCTATTACATAGTATCATAGTACCTATGATTAAATCATTTTTTCTGGTAGAAAATGCGCGTGTTTTTATAAAATAATGAAATCGTGAAATTGTACGTTTTCCTACGTTTTTTCCCACTTAAGTGCATTTATTTAAATATGACGTCGAAAATCAAAAAATGACTTCTTTAAAGTACAATCCAGACAATTTGAGCTTTCAGAAAAATTGCTACACGTAAAAATCGGAGCAAGTTTACTAGGTAAAAACGTATCCACAGACAAGAAGAAGAAAGAAAAGAAATAAACATCTTAGTAAAACCAATAGGTCCCTCGCAACGCTCGGAATTTAAACTTACATTGTTCAATATCGGTAGGTATAATATGACAGAGGTTTTATTTAAATATATTTGTGCTGAATTATATCAGTAACACGATTTAAGAAAACCAAACGGATTTAATATAGCATCATTATTATTACTAAGCTGTAATCAAATCGAATGGTGTCTATTATTATTTCGAAGTGCTATTATATTATTAATTATTATAATATCGCAAGTTTAAAACACTGTAAATACAATATTTTGGTGTTTTTCTTAAGCCTTATTACTTATATACATATCGACTTTCTCATAAAACCATGCTTGGACATGTTTAGATACCTAAGCATAGTATACTGGTTCTATGGAGAAAACTATATGAGAAGTTGAGCATTATTCGATATTTGAATAATTTTAAAACTGATTATTGGAATAAAAATGCACTCGAATAATTTTCAAATATAATATTGAGCTCTATACAAATATACTGCACGTTCCGTAATAGTCTAAAGTCTAAATCTATATAATGCGATCGAATCGCACGGGTGATGCTTATCTCAATAACGGTCTATCAGTAACGAAAATAAAATTGATTATTTTTAAATACCAACCAATTGTTCAAACAAATAAAATAAACGAAAATTATCCAAGTTTCATGTTAGATAATTATTTGAATAAAAAATAATTCGAATAATTGTAAAAAAATCATTCAAATAATTTCTTATTCAAATACACATTTATACGAATAATTTTCTAGATAAAATTTTGCCCAACACTGATGGTGTTTATATAACTTGGAAAATAATATTGGTTATTGAATTGTATAAAATATATTTTGAGTCCACCTAATGAATTAGGAAAAACTTCATAGTAATTATAGAAATTTACTGTTTTTCGACTTTTCGTTATTATATGTGTTTGTTCATATCACTACTCATAGACAGGATAGTTATTATGCGAATATACTCATACATCAAAAAGCTCTATATAATTATGATGGTTGAATCAGGTAGTACTACGTAGTCAGATAACAATATAAAACTTTCTAGGTTTACGAATTGAGCATATAATTTGTGTGTTCATATGTATATTTGCATTTAGAAGCTATATAAGAGTTAAAAACATAAGAGCTATGATGGACGATAACAGTTACCTAGGTAAATTTATGAATTTTAACTTTTCATCAAATGTAAACAATACAAACAGTTAATGCGGCTTATGGATTACAGATGACAAAAATCTTATATCTGATCTAAGTTACATACGATATTAATATATGAAGTTACAATAAACTTACATATTATTTTCTGTTTTGTTTTATTATATTTTTGCGTATAACAATTATTTGTTTAATTTTTTTACTTGACTTCAACCTACGTCTGTTTACGATTTGGAAGTTTGTTGATGGCCGATGTAAATTCGTTAAGTTGTAATAGTACCGCGATTTAGGGTCTATATTATAGCAAAATATTATTGTGTACAGGCATTACATTGTGTACGATGGTTCAAATCGGTGACCTGTGCATAATCATTGTACTGATAAACGAGAAATAAGTATGCGAGATTAAAAATAATACGACTGCATACATAACTCCGGTATGTGTGTATAAAGCGCATAGGGCTATGTACAATAAATGATACGAAAAATACCACTACGTACTTATATATAGGTACTATTATTACTAATACATAGCGAACATATTGTATATGTGTATCATGAATGTCTGATATAATAATATTTCATATTTAACTATTAAATTACGTGCTCGTATTATATTAATGCCTATGTCGTTATATTACACGGACATCTGCGTGTGTCTATTATGTCCATACTATTATTATATGGATGTATAATAGATATGATGGTACTTACCTAGGAGGTAAGTACCGTCGAGTTTAGGATGTTATCGTACTTTTTAAAAATAGTAGCATACCATTAAATTTAATTAATCAATGATGTCATGTTTTTATTCTTCTATGACATCAGTCAATCTGTAACCCGATAACATTATACATTTAAATACAATGTGTATAATTGCATAATACAAAACTACCTATATTAGAATCTATATCAGACCACCGTACGATAGCAAAAAGATATACAGTTATTTTAAACAATTTAGTGTAATGCTCGTGTCGAAATATGTATATTTCCGCTACGTGGTGCAAAACAATACTGCAGTCTTGTACGGTACGTATACCTATACAACGTATAGCACATTGGATCTATAAAAACTGAAAACAAAAAAATACCTCTGCAAGTTCTGGACTTCTGGTCAAGCAAAAACAACGAAAAATTCTATCACAAACACAAGTCACATTACATTATGCTTTTATCCGACGAATATGCAAATAAATATTACAATATTAAAAACAGACTGAAAGTAAATAAATTACATCATAAATATTAATATTTTAGTTAGAATCGACTAGATTACATCGAACTGGCGCGATATACATAAACAAATGATATTATATCAATAACATATTATACCTAATAAAAGCGGCTGGTCATCATAATATACTGTAATAAAAAATAAATAAATAATATTATTTTAGTATTAAAAAAAAAAAAAATCAATACTAGAACAACATAACATTATCTACGTCTCCTCACATCAGTTTGAAATATGAAAATATAATATTATTCTATCTGAAATCAAATCGTGTAATACCAAACCCGTGAGCGTAATACATAATATATTTTACATAATATCAAAAACAAAACTATACATCATCGGCGTTCTGATCTTACATCGATGGAAATTATTAATATTAATATAAAATAATATCATATTCTAATAATATGAATCAAGCCAAATATGTAATCCGACCGGATGGAATATTTCTACATATATAAATAATAAGAAATTACGACTATGAATAAATAATATCTGCGACCGTGCATCATATACCACTGAAAAATAATATTATCAATGTGTTGCAGTCGGTCTACACTTACCCCCTAGTCCGGCGCTCATGTGAATAATATTGAAACCGAAATTAAAATTTGATTTTCTTGCATCGATAAAACATTAGTTACATAATTTATTATTATTTAACCTGGCAAAAGACCAGCTTCGCATCGGACGTGTTCAGAACACATCTTTAGCATATTATGTTACTTTCATTCTCAACTCTGCGATCAGTTACCAAGACCACGGACGTAATCACGAGGGATTCATGGGGTTTAACCACGCTACCCCATTTGCTTATTTTTCTTTTGCAATCAATTCGTTATAAATTTACAAAGGATGTGAAAATTCATTGTCGCGTCATATAGTTTATATTTACAATTACAATATAAATATATTCGTTGCACCAAAAAATTATTGACAAATTATTAAAAAAGCTGTCCTATCCTAGGATAATGCGGATGGGTATAGCCACTGTTATAGGTATATCAGTAAGCAACGATAAACTATTGCTTACAAAAAAACGATTCCGAGTGCAGTTCACTTGATAGTGATGCTTTGTCAACAATATATATATATGTCATAATATGGTAAAATATTTAAATAGGCATTATATATTTTCTTCAATAATATTTGTTTAATATTGTACCAATTTTCCCGTTTTTAATGCATTTTTCCCATGTTTTTTCCTGGTTTTTCACATTTGCTGGGAAAACTCATGGAAAATCAAAAAATTACATCTTAAAAGTACCACCCCAGTCAGATTTCCTTTTATAAAAAAAGCTATCATTGTAAGTCGAAGCAAAATTGCTGGTAGAAAAAGTTGACAACAGAAAAAAAAAATCGTAATATTTTATTAATGTATTTTATACATTTTCCCATTTTGTCTCCGTTTTTAACGATCTTCCCATTTATTGAGAAAACTCCTGGAAAATTAAAAAAATGACTTCCCCAAGTTACCATGGAGATAAAACAAGCTACACTTGATACACCGGAGCAAGATTTTTGGTAGAAAAGTTCGCACAACAAATCAAAGGGTATTTTGCGATTAAAATAGTCCGAGCGAGCGATAGCTTGGGTCTCTAGGTATTCTCAAAATCCATGGGTTTTTTCCTTGTTTGGGTAAAAGGGAAAAAAATGCAAAATTTTTTTCGAAACGAGGGTTTGAACTCGCAAACCCTAGGATAAAAAAAGGGTGTATACAAACTCAGCTACGAAAAACATACTTCACAGAAGACAATATTTAGTTATTTAACATAACATATAATATCAGAAATTTAAAAAACTATAATTTCGAAACTTAGTAAGTCCGCTCAATTCTGAATTCACCATCGTTCTTATATTGGCAATATACATATGTTTAAAAACAAAAAATTGAAAAATTAGATTTTTTTCACATAATTTTTTACTCAAACATTTTCGTAAAAATTGATATTAATATTTCTTTATAAAAAAAAAAAAATACTACATTAAAAGCAATTTTTTTGACCACAAAGTAAAACTCTTAATAAACCTTCTGTTAAATTTTCAAACATTTCTGTTAAGTTTAACAATTTTGCCACATAGTACCTACCGAATAAAAATTACGTACAAAACTCACAAAATTAAAAGTCTATAAATAGCTCAAAAATGGAATTAACTTGTTGAAAATTTTACCTAATCTATAAAAGGCAAATATAAAATTTTTGTCCAAACTTCCAATCTCTACGAATATCTTAAACTGAATTACAACAAAGAATAAAATTGATTAAATAATAAAAGCATTAATTTCGTACATTTCCCGTTATTCTTACATTTTACCCTGGTTTTCCTCAGATATTATGAAAACCACTTGGAAAATCAAAAAAAAACAATCTCCCGAAAGTACCATCTGAAGAACATTTCCTTTCAAAAATGGTGCAACGCATATATATCTGAGCAAGATTTCTGGTAGAACTTTTCTACATAGTACAGAAAAAAAAAAATAAGCATCTAACTAAAACCATTACATTCGTAGCTACACTCAGAATCTAAAATAAAAAGTGCATTAAATTTTATATTTTTATTTTTTTTTTATATTGTAATTATTAAAAATAATATTAAATATCTTAACTAGAGGATTGCACGTCGATAGTGTCTTACTTTCTAGAAAACACCCACAACCCCCTCATTTTAGTTTTTAGTTTTAGCTTTAAGATTTAAACTGATAAATTTGTTTATACTTATATTCTTATTTTGTGTTGCCATCTCTGTAATCATTATTGTCTGTCATTTATCGCAAACAAATGAATATATTTTGAATCTGCGTATATAAATGTATAGATCACGAACGAACTTTACTTTTTGTACATTAAAATGTCTATTGACATTTCGTTTTGAGACGCTTTTTACAAAAAAAAAAAAATGTCGAGGAAACTATCAAAAAAAAAGGAGGAAGTAAATTGATTACGTGATGGACATTATAGTTTAGCTTATAGGTTAGGGTTTACTAACCTAACCGTGGCGGTGGTTATGGTAGGATGGGTCGGTGGTAAGTATAGATCGGAAAAATGTGTGAGAATAAGCGGGATAGCAAAAGATATGAAAGTAGGTGGTACATTAATTAAGTTGTGCACGTTGTAATTTAAGCGAGATTGGAGAGGCCTAGTTTAGCCTAGGTTAAATGGTGAAAGAGATAGACGGGGGAGAGAAGGGGATAATAATAGCTCGAATACGTGGTTCGGTAGAGGAGTGGTTAGGTGGGCTCGCCTATAGCTTCGCGGGGAATATAGAAGCTCCTTGTGGATGGTAGTTTTAGGCTATGTAATTTTTATCGTAAACCAATTAGTATTTTTTTTTTTTTTACCCCGGAGCAAATTCCGTAGTTCCTGCGTAAACGACCATCGAATGGAATTTGGAAATACAAAATAGCGTAGGTATCAAGTAAACATAAATATTTACGATAGGCACGCATACATTTATAGTTAAGAATATTATAGTGTCCGCGTATGTTTATTATAGGCTTATTTTTAAATTTTTAATCGTATTAATTTTGTTTTTATGAAGATTTATTTCTTTAGGTGGGTATAATATTATACGAATTGGTACGACCTACGTCTTTACACCGGTTATTTTTATTCGTTCCAACGACTGTCCCTGGCTGACCACACACACGCACACACACACACACACACATTCGTTTCCGTTGAACTCTCGTTCACACGGAAAAACGAACGTGAATATATTATATTATTATTATTATTATTATTAATAATAATGAAAGAAATCCGCCGCGGCGGCCGAGAGGTCAAACTCGGAGGACTCGTTTCCCGTCTTCTGTTGGGTTTGTTGACGCAACAACCAAGTCGCGCCGCGCCGTCTCGATTTATAAATACGATTCGTTTATTGTTTTTTTTTATTTTTTTTTATTTACGAATCGTTTTGTATACCACCATGGTTATCTGCCGTGTACCTACATGACCGAAGACGACGGCGATGGCGGCACGACAGTGTTTATATACAGTGTTCCGTATACATTACGAATTATACCATATATAAAATAATATAATATATAGAGCCTGTTTTATATATGCATAGCCGCCATAGGTATTATTATTAATAACTACTCTATCGGGAACTTAACCGCGTGTGGCGGGTCTGGTATAATATACGGAAATAAATATACGGACGTCAAACGTCTCTCGGATCGACGAAGAAAGTCGTTTTGAAAAATACATTCGATATCAGGTACCTGTAGTTTAAGTAACCCATAACGATTATGTTAAGAGGACACGATAAAGTGTCGTCTCCGTCTTACAAAACGTACGACGTAGCAAATGTGCGTTCAGTAGGGACAACTTTATGCCGTTAGTTTTAATATAAGTATTTTAATTGACCGATTATTAAATTTAAATATAAGAACATTATCCATGCAACGACGTCGGCACGTTGATTGATGGATCGTCTCCTTGGGATTTCCGTCGCCGTTAAATATTTTTACCTACAACTTAATACTTACGAATTTATAAAAAAAATATATAGATAGACAGTACATTACGTCATACAATTTTGATAATTTTCTTTTCATTATTAGTCAGTTAACGTGATA